TGTTGAAACAGCTACATGCTATTTTAGCAAATTTGACTATGCATGAATTAACAGAATCTTAATTTAGCTAAAGTACCCACAATCACATTGTGAGAATATACTTTGTTAAATTAGCACATCTTGAATTAGCAAAAGTAATGATCAGCTAAAATAGCATGCAAGCTAGAGAGACATGGTAGGGAAGTTAAAAATGAAAATAGGACCAACAAAATCACAGAACTGTTAATGATTAATTGCTTTGCAATTTGAATGTAGTCAAAGTAAATCCCAATTTGGGTTAACACATCATTTGTTGGATTTTATTTTGTAAACTGAAAAAAAATCACATAGCAAAAAATAAGGTACTCTGCACCGCCTTTTCAGTTTATTAACTCCTTTAACGACCCTCAACATGACATTAAATCATTGCAGGAAATAAATAACCACCAACTTAGAGAGCTTTGAATGTTACATTGTAAACCAGAGTGAATACACGTTCACACTTTAATAATTGGATAAACATTTTGTCAAATTATCCAGGATCAGACCGAATTCAATCGACATCTATAAGTAACTACTAATGTTAATTTAGAAGGGAAAGAATTAAAATGTTGCAGTTCTCTAACTGTATGACATTTTAGGGTGTGGCAAAAAGTAAAATGGCTATTGACAGGAACTGTAGGATTAATAAAGTACAGGCTCGCCTGGGTTAACTGCTTTATTGATCAGTTTGCAATACTTATTTAAAAACTGAACTAGGGATCAAATTATTGGTAGTCAAAAACTACTAGACCAAGTGGACTTCTACTAGATGTATGAAGCCTCTCCTAACCAGTGGCCAGTCAAAATAAGAACTTTGTAAAACAATCGCATACATTGCTCTGCTTCATTGGAATCATTAGAACAAACTTGTAGAAAATGGAGAAACAGGACTGGTTTATTTGGGATTCAGAGATAATGGAATGTCACCAAAAAAAAAACTTTTCAACTTTAGTCAGCTGTTTTTAAAGATCACGATAGTAATGCATGATATTCTGTGAGTAATGGGTCAGTCAACAGTTTCAGCTAAGCACACCAACAAGAAATGGATAAGATAAGATAAATCTGTAAATCTGTGCGTCAAATGAGGTGCATTTGTAAAATATTTTTACACCCATCGACAACCAACTGTTATGCAACACTACTGTCGATTATCAATTTGTATTTAATGGTGAATGTAGTCTGACACCATGACCAATATTTATCAATTAAGTTTCAGTGGGGGGTTTGGAAAAAACTAAAGGAATTAAGTTTTTTTTATCCGACATCGATCTTTTGACGTCGTCCCCAAGATGTGTCCAGGCATAAACATTTTGCACACAAGATTTGGCCACACTTTAGAGAGGATATGCATTTTATTTTAACCACCTTGGATTCCATGCACAAAAATAGGTTATTTCACAGCCCTTAACAATTCAAGACAAGTGTTATCAAAAACAAGTATTGACAAAACTGCAATTACCATTGAATAATAGTATAATTAGTACTGCTGTAATTAAAAGCATTTAGTACTGCAAATACAAATACCAAACCATCTTGTTTTTGTTAAGATTGGTTGAAAGTTTCAAAATAATATTCTGAATAATATTGCATTTGATCCATTCACCTTTTGAGCACCTGATTTGTTTTCCCTGGTTTGGGTAAAATTCAATTAGTTTCTGTATTTTTCACTGATTTTAATCTCATTTTTTGTTCAAAAAGCTTCAATAAAATTTTCGTACTATTTTATGTGGAAAAAGAGCAAACTTTGGTGTTCAAAGGGTTGATAGTCAATATATATATTATACCATAGACTATAAAAAAGTATACGAGAAGTTAATGACTGTAGGCTTTATTTACGCTTCAAATAAAGCAAATTGTTGTAGAATTGACTTGGGAGCTAACCAGATTTATCAAGCACTTGCAGCATAAAAGGCTTCATTTTAAAATATATATCAAAGCATAATAGAATTGAATTGCTTAAGAAAATGAAACCCTCCATGCAGATCCTGATATATATCCAGTGAAACGGCTGAAAAATACAAACCTTTCATTGGATAGATTTTACACAGCCCTTGTCTGTAGCCAGCAACAATTCACAAATTATGGCCACTAGAGGGCAGGCATGCTTGAAGGTATGGCCACATGCACGTAAATAGCAGGCATGTATATAGTAACAAGTTGGATTTTTATAATCCAGGATACAACAAATGTAAATTATTGGTTTATGCGAGCTTCTATTAGATCAATTTATTGATTGTAATAATGTAATTTTTAATTTCAGGAAGTACTTCGGGTAACATCCTGCCAAGGCAAGCAAAATACAATCAACCAAGTTTATGTTCAAAGTTTATTCCTAAGTTAGTAATCGCCTTAATATGCGAGCACAGAGCAAACTGAAGTACTTACGTTCAGTGACTGAAACTTTAATAGGATTACTTTTTCTCTCATACTCTTCTACTAAACCTATTTGCTTTGACTTGCATCGGACTTCAATTTGTAGGTTTTCTTCTACTTTTCCATCACTGTTATCAGCAGCTGTGAATGTAACTGTGATCGTACTGTTGCTTTTAAATTTACCATCTGACTCTCCTGAAAACTTCTTCACCTCAACATTGTAATTCACGCCTTCTGGGACATCCTCAACATCACCAAATACAAAGTCTTTATCCAGTTCACCTTCTATTGAAGTAGCAACTGATGATATTTTGTAGGCCCATGTTATGGTCGCACTTGGGACAACACCATCAACTTCGCATGTCCTGCTGATTGTTATGCTTTCACCTGGTGCAGGCATTTCTTTACTTATCTCCATCTCGCCATCAATCGATACTTCTGAGGGTAGGACTACAAAGAACAATATATTGTTTGTTAACATGCATTTTTATTAGAGCTGCTCTTTCAAAATCTTGCATATGGTAAAAAGTCGGCTCAATTTCTAAATTTTGTCGAAATATAGATTTCCCTTCAAGGTGAACAATTCAATCACATTATTTCACCCAGGAAAGCTAAAAGTTACTTGAAACCACTCCCAGACCTTTCCTCGGTGCACTCCAGAGACCTATGCAAATAAAAGATTGTTTTACCCCACACACCCAAGTTCGCTGATTTGTATTGTGGATTTAGATTCAACACCATACACCTGTATTCACCTTCATCCGCCAGTTTTACATCAGTTAATACTAAATTATACGAGTCTGTGATCTATAAAATAAACAGTTAACATTCATTACAGCAGCAACAAATTGCAAGATTTCCTTTAGTGAAATGGTTTCTCAGTAATTTTTTTTGTGGGCACTTGGACAGAGTCTTGTCCAGACCCTTTCGAAGCTCTGTCAATGGAAATGTACTCGATAGATTAAAAGATAAAATACTAATACTGGTGACACAAATTGACAGAAATGAAGTTTCATTGTTAGGAAAATTACAGTAAATCAAGGCAGGTTTCATTCAACTGCAGACAAGACTGCCAATAAAAAAAAATTTAGACGAACCTCAACCTCTAGAAATACCTTAGTGACATAGTACCAAAAGTCATCGACCACTGCCACAAAATATACTTTGTGGCATCACAACCGATGAATCAAGGTAACCAAGCTGGCATCACCATAGTGCATGATCTTTCCCCACAATGTTTAAAAGACAGGATCTTGTTGCTGAGCAAAAAGCAAAAAAGTGGCCGAGAGGTCTTGTGATAGTTTTTTTTATGCATAGCAGCGTGTCAGCTGAGACAGCTCTGTTGTAAGCAAGGCACATTTCAATTAAAGAACTGAAGATATCATTAGAAAATGAACATTATGTTTAGTTATCAAAGCAATCAGTCTTGCCGTTTTCAGCAATAATTTGAAAATATCACTTTTTACCAAAAATATTCATTAAAATTAGATAATTGAAGATATCATGAAATGAACAAATCTAAGAGAGGT